GCCGCCCGCCATCGGCTGTCGTCAGCCACCGCTGACCTCCGGCAACCACCGCCGACCATCATTGATTATCGTCAACTACCGTCGATCACCGCCGACTTCTGTCAACCACTGCTGACTAGACGTCGTCAGTCGACGCTGTAACTTGGAAAACTAGTAACCCTTTCCCGCTTGTGGGACAAGGGGCATCTGTAATCATCAACTTTAGTGAATTTTCACAACTGGGCCAAATCTTGTGGTTTTTCCCCTTTACGGGCTTTCCACTTAAAAACTTCTGGTGTTATCACAGCTTGATTCATTTTCATCTGAGTGTGTGTCGAATCCTCGCGCAACGCTAAGACAATAATCTATTACTCTACCGCCGCAAATCCGCCGCATATTACTCTACCGCCGCAAATTTTCTAGCACGCATCAGTTTGGCGTCGTTTGTGGGAAAGTTTCAATCCCACAACTAAAGTACTTATGCAGTCTACTACACGGCCACCAGACACAATGTTCTTGATAATGGAGCATCCCGCTCCAACAGCTATCGTTCCAGGAAGCAGTCACGAAGCCAAGGGCGGCATGCTTCTTTGTCTTCCCATCCTGAAAGATGTTATCCTGCCAACGAATGTGTTTTGAGTCATTCTATAGAAGATCGAATGCGTAGAATGAAGGAGTCTCAACTAGAAATCCTACAGCTCCTACGCGAGGCTCAACAACCGCTGCCTACACCATTAACTCCACGACGTACGAGAAACATAGAACTATGAGGAACTTGTACCGGCCCGCCTCCTCAAGAAGGAACACATCCCCTGTCAGGTCATGATGCTGAACTCCTAGATAAAGATACCGTAAGTTCCACTCATCTATCTCGTGCAGCTCATCCGACATCACCACATCTTCCTGCCATTTCAGATGATATCATTAGTAATGAACTACGACGCCTCGTTTGAGAAGTGTTTCCTCTAGAGAAAAAGGATCGTTTCTATGCTCACCGTAATATCCATGAATATTCTCCCTTAGCAGATGCAGTCTTCCAGGCTTCAAGCTTCCGAACATCGATACATATGAAGGGATAACCGACCCCTACGAACATATTGATCATTATCGAACTACCATGCACATTCAACGTGACTCTGATGCACTTCTGCGTCAGGTTTTCCAGGCTACTCTTAAAGGACAAGCTCGAACCTGGTTCTACTCTCTGCCATGGGGAACTGTAAACACCTTTAATGAGCTTGCCAGACTGTTTGTAGAACAGTTCGTAGCAAACCGACAGATCATCAATGATTCATCCCATCTCTCGGGAATTCATCAAAGCAAAGGAGAATCATTGAAGGATTACTTCCGCAGGTTTTCTACTGAAGCTCGACAAATCCCGGGAGTAGATCCAGATTTACTAAGAGGAGTCTTCCTTGGGGGGCTCCGCCCAGGACCCTTATACTCATCATTGATTTGGGAGACAGTTCGTTCTTATGCTGACCTTGTTTACCGTGTTGAGGCACAAATTTCTGCAGATGATGTCATCATTGCTCACAAGGAACAATTTGAGCGATTGGGGGGCAAGCGCAAGAATAACGTTAGGGATACCAATCAAATCTCACAACGAAAAAAAGTTTAGGCCACGAGGGAATCGTGACCAACAATCAGAAAAAGAATACATGTCACTCAACACGTCACATGTTAACATCTTAATGAAAATCAAGGATGAAAAGACTGTCAAGTGGCCAAGACTGTTAAAAAATCAAGATGGTGAAGATCAGTCTCAATATTGTCATTTCCATCGTGCAAAAGAACATTCAACAGAAAGATGTTTTCAATTAAATGAAGAAATTAAACGTCTAATATGTCATGGTCACCTAGGTCGCTGTTTACAAGAATAATGTGAGGGGAACCAAAACAGAAATGTAACCAAAAGAGAACTGTTGGTATTGAATGAGAGTTATCGAATGAGAAGTATAACTCCAACTCATATTATCTGAGTAAAAGACTCGCTTATAAACTCTTAATTTTATTTCAGCAAAATTTTTTTGTTGCTCTAAAATATCATTTCAATGAAATTTTCTTATTTTCTCATGAAAGATTTTTTGTGTAGAAAGCCCCCTTGAGGATGAGAAGCTACCATACCCCTAAAATTCGAGCCCAAGAGGCAAGACTCGACGGGAAGATATTATTCTCCTAAAAATCAAGCCTTAGAAGCAAGATTCAATGAGAAGCTACCATACCCTTGGAAGACGAGCCCAACATACAAGTCTCTAAGGGAAGCTAGTTGTGGACAGGGTCCTCACTAGAAAAACTCCATGAGAGCAAGTGGTTGACAGTGTCTCAACTTAAAGACCTCAGAAGGCTACAAGCCTTAGAAGGCGGTCTCCACTCAAAGACCTCAGAAGGCACAGGTACATCAAAGACCTTAAAAGGCTACGAGCCTCAGAAGACACAAGTACACTCAAAGATCTCAGAAGACACAAATACATCAAAAACCTCAGAAGACACAAGTGCATAAAAATTCCTCAGAAGGCTACGAGCCTCAGAAGTACTTTGCACAATTAAAAAGCCACAACAACCGTGGAAGAAACCAAAAAAATACATTGTTATCATATATAATTATCACATCAGAAAATTAAAAAGGCTACAAATATCAACATATACATGTACAAGGGATACAACAAATCAGTTCATCTTCAATTAGAGTCGACATCGCTTTCCTAAAATTCCAGTATTTTTGATGATCGTCAAGGAGTCTCCAGATATCGCCTCCACATAGGCATAAAAATTCCCCCTCATGGCGAGGCGAGAAAACTACATCATTTCTTCATCACTTTCATAACGTGCCAGAGCAGCATGAGAATCCCCTCCGGAATATGCGACGCTCCACCACAATGTGTCGCGTGGTCGCGACACCCCTCCGCAACGTTTCGCCGCAGCACTTCACCGCAACGTTTCGCCGCAACACTTCATCGTAACATTTCGCCGCAACGAGAAAGAAGATCCCTTTGCTTGACAGGGACGACTTTCTTCTTTTGGAAAATCCCTGATCACCTTCTAGGCAGGGACGATGACTCCACATTTTTTCTCCTCTCCTTAGCCTATTTATAGACTAAAAAACTCACTCATAATTAATTAGTCATTAAAAAAATATTTATTTATTTTAAAAAAACTTTTCATTTCATATTCCTTCAGTTTTTTAGCCTTTAAAATTTTATCTTTATGACTGAAATTAATTAAAAAATAAATTAATAATAAAAAAAACTCTTCACATTTTGTGATTTAAAAAATATACATTTAAATGTCTATTTTTTATTTAAATCCTGCTTCAATCGTGGCTCTTGGAATTCTTTAATTAATTAATTAAATGACCGGTTCTTTGATTAATTTCGGCTGCTTTGTGGCCCTCGGATTCCTGCTCAGCCCGTTCAGCTGCTAGAGGCCCGTTCAACATTAAATGACCTGTTCTTTAATTAATTTTGACTGCTTTATGACCCTTCGGATTTCTGCTCAGCTCGTTCAACATTCAGCTGCAAGGAGTTCAGATCAGCGTTCAGCCCAAGAGGCCCATTCAGCTGCTAGGAGTTCAGAGGCCAGAGACCCGTTCAACGTTCAACCCAGGAGTTTGGAGGCCCGTTTAGCATTCAGCCCACTCAGTCTGCTTCGGGCCTCCTGCCCCGCTATGACCCACAGGTTTAATTAATATAAATATTGAGTTGGGAGGGATTTGATCCCACGCCACCTGCAAAGTGACAAAAAATGAACTACCAACTGAGATGGACTCAATTTAATATTCTATTCAGAATAAATAATAATTTTATTTGTATATTGATTGTAATAAAGTATATATACTAAAATTTTTATGCATTACAAAAATGAAAAGTCTATAGATCTTAATTTTTTCAGACGAAAAAAAAAATGTTTTCGTCCAAAAATAGGGGGGCAACTGATATGTCACCAACAAATTCTCACAGCCAGCACGATCTCGATACAATTTTTTAAACAAGAAACATTCAAACTTCAATTAGGAGCCATTCAGAGCTCCGATTTTAGCAAACTTATAGTCAAACTGATCAATTTGATGAGACGGACCTAATGATATAAAAGTCAGTCCAATCAGAGTCAAATCTAGCCCAGATCAAATCATTAAACTATACTTAGAGGATTTTTAGAGGCATTTGAAAGGTCAAACGGATGTCGAATCTAGCGAGTTCATAGTCGAATCAAGCATCTCGACAAGACGAATCCAATGAGCCCAAGATTGGTCAATTCCAACATCGTTAAGGCACTCAAATGTCCATCAAACGTCATCTGATCAAGGGAAGCTCTCTGGACTGTCCGATCAAAGTGATTCATTATCCTGCATTAATTGCACTCAAAACATTATAAATAGAGCATCTCCACTCACATGAAAGGAGGAATGAAGAGAGAACTTGAGGCTTTGAGAAGGAGTTCAAGTCCAAGATCATCCTCGCCATCGTCGATCGCCGTCGACCACCACTGACCGTCGACCACCACTGACCGTCGAC